TAGTGACAAAGCCTCCATCACCTCATATAAGATCTCATTCCATCTGTGAGAACTTTGGGTCTACCCTAGAAAAATAATAAATATCCAACTCTCATGACTGGCGCTCGTTTTGTTCAAAAGGTGGCTTCAAGACCAAACAAAGGAAATGGTGTCATTAATGATATATATTATGAACTAGGGCCTCTTAGAACAGTTTCCTACAAATGCATGGATAAGGAGTTGATCTCTTTCCTAACAAAGGATCTCTAAAATATGAAGTGAAAAGCTACCCCAAGATGAAGCTGGTAAAGAAACAGGCGAGGAAGAGCCTATTTCCACAACACAAACAGATTTCCTGGCCTTTAGCAGTCTCTTACTGGGATACTTTGAGACATATCCATCAAAACACAGCTGTATTCATTCATATTTCATACCTCCTCCTTCTCCCAGTGCTTTAACACTGTTCTTTGATCAAAGGAGAAAAGTCGGATCACAACAGGAAGGTTCCCTGCCAGCCAAGAAGGAGAAGGAAGGCCAATCCACTACTGTACTGTACATGCTACGGTATAGATTGCTGTACTTCAACTTCAGTCACAAAAAAAGAAGAAAAAATTAGAATAAAATAAATGAATGCCTTGCAAATGCAAAACTAAGAACACTTGAGAAATGTATGACTTTCCACAGATTAAATGCTTTTATAAGAATCTCCACATTATACAGTGAGCTTGGTTTCAGGCCATGCGCAGTTCTATTGCAAAATTGTACAAAATACTTTTTGTTATAAACACAAACTCCATCACTCATCTTGCAGAAAAATTAACAATTTCTGCAGAGTTAGAGATGATTGATTGAAGTCTTTGTTAGATTTAGAGGAATAACAGTTTCTGCAACTCAAGTGATGGAATTGCTGAGAGACCGACAAGCCAGCAGCAGATTCAAAACACACAGCTCAAGAGTGTCACCATGTGGACGCGCCTGGATATGACAAAACAGTAACTGAGCAGCGCTGAGAGCAAATGTTTTACCTGTGAACGCAGCTCAATAAGAGCAGTCGTATTCTCATTTCTTCTCTGACCCCTTGCATAGTTTTGTTAAATATTTTTTTCCAATTAAATTTCATGTCAACTGCTTTACATTAATCCTTCAGCTTCTCTCTTTACCTCACCTCCACCATATCAATTCCAAGACATAGCACTTCCAAAGACCACTTTCAGTAAGGCTCTGGGAAAAAAAAGTGTTTGAAGACCTCCCTGACATTTAGACTCTCTCTGAAGATGACTTTGCCTTCTACTATAGCCTGCGGGAACATAATAAGACCCACACTAAACTTCAATTGATATGCAGTGCCAGATTCCTCTAGGGGAAATTATCATTCTGTTCATAATAAGAGCCACAACAAGCACCTGGAAAATGACTTTATTATACACTCCGCTTCAATAAAAGTTTCCTATGACCCATCCAAAACACACACACACGGTGAACGGAGCATAATCGTGATGAAATGAAAACTATATTATGCATATGATAGAATGCTTATTTGATGGTAGGCTGTGCGAGGATGCACATCTGCTCGGGTGTGCTTGATTGGCAGGTGTGTTAATGTAGCGCTGTAGCCTTGGATGGAGGTGCTCTGAGACCCCTTTTTCCTGAAGTCATTATCCAAATATGTTCTGTTTTTCAAACAAATGAATAGCACAAAAATCAAAGTATCAAAAATGTATTGCCCTTCATAATGGAATTCCCTCTGAGCAAGGACATATAACAATGGGCCATTCTCAGCTTCCTGTGCTTTCCCTCTCTATATGCCAATGGATGTGACCTCCACAGCTTTAACAATGGGGCATCCAGCAGCATAAGCACTTGGCTTCTCGCCACAGCCACTACGTGCAGTAAGGTTGCTTTCATCTTTGTTGTTATATTTAAGGATGACATCCTAGCCTGTCGGCCTCTACTATTGTCTTCACCGTGATTATTTTCTACCGTTGTTTAGCCCCAGTTGTGGCTCTTTGATGAAAAGGTCGCCACTCAATTGGAAAACAGTCATTAAAATGCGGTGGGTACTATTCACCAGTGTGCATGGGGGAACCAACTCAACTGAGCTGGTTAATCAAAAGTTAATTATATAATTTTCATGCAGATGAGGGAAACATTCAAATGAATCCCAACTCTACAATCATTACAAAAAATAAATAAAGAAATAATTCTAAAATGCTATAAAATGTTCAGGGACCGGGAGGCTGTAAACAATATGAAGTTTAATTTGAGGTAAACAAAGTGAATATCCACCAGGGGGTCTGGGAAGGAGAAAGTGAGGTTAAATCAAATTTGGAAACATAGATACCAGCAGGTTTTGTTGTCCTGATATACGTGCAATTAGGCAGGTCCTTGATGAGGACACTGGGAGGGAGAAAGTTGGCTTTCACAGTAAATGCTTTGGGATTATTTAAAGGGAATTTATGGGATTTTATGCTTTATCTGTAAACATTAATTATTCTCACACAAGTATACCAAATTGAATTAAAACCATATTTTAGGAAATGTTATAAAAGCATAATTATCTTTTATGAGGATGTTGCAAACTTATTGAACTCCATAAAGATAAGTATAAATCAATTCCAGGAAGTCTCATAGTGACTTTCATAAGAAAACGCCTTGGACAACGTTTTCTTCTGTAACTTTGTCAAAGAACGTAAAGTAGCACTTTACAAAGAAATCTCAAGTCTTTCCTCATCAAAGGAAATGATTGTGTTATGCAAATTACAACTATGAATATTAAACCAACGATGTGAAGTATCACAAATGAGCAAGCATTGTTCTGGAAGTGCAATGGAATGTGGTTTAATTTCTCTTTAATTCTATGTGCTTTTATAATGTTCACCTTTTCCCAGTTGTGCCAGCGGGTTTGGGTTCATTGGTGTGCATTACAACCGCGCTCTAACAATGCAGGGCCTCCACGGTGTCAGCACAGTTCATGAATCCTAGCCCCTTATGCACCAGGCGATTAGTATGGTGCTCTGTCTGTGGGGCTTTGCCAGAAAATGAGTTCTCTTTAAAACATATGCCCCCTGCTGATTCTTTTCCTTTCCTGATATGAAATTCCAATTTTTATAATGAACACCAATTTCCTGTACGGAGAGGGTGGGGGAAAAAAAGTTTTGGATGACTGCAGTTATCCTAAATTAGAGGAAAGCTATTGTGGACATCACAAGCAAAAAATATTTAGATGAGTGTATTTCAGTTTCTGGGCTAATCAACATTCTGGTACGAACACAAAAATCAGCTAGTGTAATTTTCCACATCACATATGCACATGACTGGTGTGGCAGAAAATGGAATTACCAAAACTGTAACAAATTCAATTAAGTGATTGATTTCTAATAAATTGGCTTAATCACCAGCTGTTGTCATGCTAAGATTGTTGTGTCACAAGTTTGTCATGCTTGTCGGTCGTGGCTGCTTTACAAAGACAATTTAATCTATTTACGGGCACTCAAACAGCATTTTATACGTAAATAGGATCATTTCAGTTCTAATGACCAGATCTACAAGGCGAGATTACACATTATGACAATCTGATTGAACAAAAGGTTTGATCATCTCATCAGATTTCAAAAACTTTATTACAATTTTAAACGGATTTAAATGTTACAGACATACATGTAATTGAGATCTGTGCAATGATTTGAAGTCAGTATCCTGCACCCGGCCGATCCATCACTGGTGTTGATCATGATGCAAGTACAGTCTGTGTTTTTTCTTCATTTTTTGTAGCTCTTCAATTATTAGGGAACCTTTTCTTTCGGTCAAAATGACTGGAATCATCATTAATCTGAAGGGGTTGAAATTAAATCTCAGTTGATTTTCTGTTTAAATATTTAATCTAAGAAATATTTAAATTTTCATTTTCATGATAGCAAACAAGTCTGAGTAAATTAGCATTACATTCAGAAAGATAAAATTAAACATTCATATATTCAATAAAACAAAAAAGGGAAAAATAAAAACAGTCATTGAGCAGTTTGTATATTGTCATTGCTGCTTTGGAACACAGTGGCACACAGTGGTGTAGTGTACATTAATATTGTACAATTGAAGTAGACATTGGTGATAAATTATGTATAATGAGCACTTACTACATTGTATGGTCTAAGTCTCTCTTGGGTTTGGGCACTCGCCTCTTCAGGAAGAGACACCACTTCTCCTGTACCCATCATCTAAGTACAATCAAATAGAGATTTTAGTAGATGAAAGTTGGTGTAAGATCTGGACCCAACATAACATATACAGCATCTTAAAATAAGAAAAAAAGCCAGTCATTCTGAAGTATTTCTGTTACATTTTCTGTTAAATTTCATAAAGACACCACATTTCCTGAAACTGTAGAATCATTCACATAAAAAAATAAATAAATCACTCACCCTGATGGTTGCCTCTAGCTCTCCCACACTTCTCTTCCCACCTGGTAGCCATCCATAGGACCAGTGCTGGGACAGGGTGACCTGAACCACCAACGCCAACAACAACACCTGCACCATCACTCTGCTGTTCGCTTCCATTAGAGCTGCAGGGGAAGCCAAATTTGTAATAAAAACAATACTGTCACAGTCTCCTCTCTCACAGCCCCACGGCTCGCAAACCATGGGATATAAAGCATTGCCCAACATTAGTAAACAACATTTTAGACAGTAATTAATAAGAGGAGTAATTCTAACTTAATGAACATTGAACAAACTTCATTGAGGACTCACCTCTGTATTTGCCTTGTTAGCATGTGGTGCATTAGCCAGAGGGAGGTTTTATAGGTGTTGTAGAAGGATGCTGTCAGGATTATAATCCCCTCTCTGCAGGTGTGACACATTTACAGACTAATGGGACACAAAATACTACTAATGGAGTTGGCTAAGTGCTTAGATATGCTGACATCACTGTGAGGGTTCAAACAGCATAAAATATATATCAAAATTGTCTTTGTGTTTATATCGGATGCATGTGTGGAAGTGGACAAAAAGACAACACTGGGATGAGCTCTGACATATCTCTCCATCTATAATTTATTGGGATCAGCTTTTAGCAAACAAATTGTTCAAATCCATACAGATTCAAAAGGCAGAAACATCATTGAAAAACAAGATGCTTGTGCGTTTATGTTACATCAGCTGCAAGGCCTCACTGTCATTACCCCTGTTTCTTGTTCAGCATGACAACACATTAAAATGAAGTCAATAATGCAGTAAACCTTAGTGACGGTTAATGACCACAATAATGTATGTACACTAAATAAACAACATGATCAGTAAACCTATCTCATGACTTTATAATAATGAAAGTACAAACACAGTAGAAAGTTATTTACCCCAAATTAAGACTTCCAAGCTTACGGCTTTACAAAGAAGTAAGCAGAAGCCTTGCAAAAATATATGTTTTTGTGTTTGCAGCAATGTCGGGGTTTTCCTTTTTTAAATATGAAACTAAGACTAACTATCACAGTCAAAATATGTCAAAATGCCTGTGCGTGCATATTTAATATTTTGACTGAGCACTGGTTCTTGATGTCAGTGCTTTTCAATGTCCCAGACATTTTTCATCTCAGTTCCTGGATATGAACAACGTTCAACCACATCACTTATCAACTCTCATTAAAACAAACATTTCTGCAGTTATTTTCTTCTCAATTTCTTACACACTTATTTTAACTAAAATTATGATTTACATTTGTTATCCTTATAATATTCTGATAAGTGTTTGTACAAACAATGAATTATGATCCATACAGGAGACCACCATTCAAAAACAATACACTTTAAGAAATGAGTCTATTATATTAAATTAAACATAAACATCTGGCTTATCTGTATTAAAATTGTGTCACTCGGTGACAAGTTTTTCATGATTAGAACTGTCTTTCTAATCAATATGGCACTGCTTTATGCACATATGCAAGTGTAAAGTTGGCTTGTTAATGTGTATAAAATTTTTTTTTTTAAAGCAAGATCTGATGCTTGGCTGCAAAACATCTGTAAGAATCATACGTTTGGATTCCTGTAATAATACACATTATTTTCTGCCTGTTCCAATGTGGGCTAATTGCATTTTGCAGCGTCAGGCACCAATCCACTAATATTGCCACAGGCAACAAAAGAAAGTTGGTGAAGTTGAATAAAATTGCAACAGGCAGCAGCTGTTAAGTTATTCACAGACAGAAGTGAGGTAATTTGCAGCGTCTTACAGAATTAAATGTATCTTGAGCTAAAAGTAGATTATTCACACATGTCAGACAGGACATCATTTTAGCAAAAGCATAAATCATTTACCCTACTTATCAGACACACTATTTATTCTCCTCATAGCAATCAGACTTGTTGAGTGGGTAGAATAAAATACAAGACTACTGTAAACCAAAGGCATTGTGGTCAGTAACAAAATAAAGTAGAAACAAAAGAGAATGCATGTACCCTACAACACATTAGTGATGCATTTCAGGTAGTGAGCAATACATACTACAATATATATATACATTATTTATATAGGTAAAGTTGGAATACAGTTTTTGAATATTTCCTCTTAAACACTTTATCAACCCTCACAATGTTGCACTTAAGCAACATAAAATTCTTTTTTTGTATATATATATATTCAAGAACCCAATCAACCCAGTAATAAACCACTATAATTTCTATATTTATACATGGGGATACTTGAAAATCAAGCTTTCATGAAAGAGACAGACTCTTGTGGAGCACAGATGTTTTCAATTATATTACAGTATGTTACAGCATTTGTTTTAGATCTGTAATCAAGTGCAAAATGTAAAAAGAGCTTGCTTTAGAAAATAACATTCAGGGAAAAAATGCATAAGTTAGTCTGACATAAGTATACAGAACAGTATCTGATAGGTATTATTTAAAATTGGCGTAGTCTGAGAAGATGTCAACAAAATCCTGAACCACTCTGTAGCAGAAGTCGTATTGCTCCTGGAACGAAAAGCAGAAGGAAGAGTGTTACAGTGCATATATGTGCAGAAATGGTTCCAAGCAACACAAACGCGAATAAGCTGAGTTTTATATTATCTCGTTTTCTACCTACCACAGTCTGAACCATGTGTGGTCTCTGCATGCGTAAACTCTTGACTGTCTGAAAAACGTCCAGGAGCCCTTCAGCTTTCACCCTCTCCAGAATGTTACTGAGGGCAATGAAGGTACCGGTCCGACCTGCACCAGCACTGAAACATGAAGGACAAAACGATCAGCAACCACATCACATAATGCACACACTGGACCGGACTAGAAAATGAGAATTTGTTGCAGAACTGCAGTGGATTGTGGAAGAACTACAGACAATTCAGAAATGTAGCTCAGAAGAAGACCAGGACATTTTTTCATTCTCAACACTTCACCATTTCTTAACAATAATGCTGCAATGGAAGTCTTATAATCTTAGCAGTACATCCTTTTCCCATTTAAATGAAAAAAGTTTGCAAGAGAAAAGGTGACCTTTGTGTAATAGTGCTAATAATCATCCTCACTTAAAGAGAGGCTAATCCAAACGCTAACACTAATCAGTTTGGAAGCTCAGTGTTTGACTGAGTCAATGTTTACAATGATGGTGGGATGGAGAGAGAAAGACAGAGAGAGAGAGCCGGGGAGCGAGTGCGAGAGTGATGTGCGATTCGGAAGAGAAGTGTAGAGAGACGTTGGGGATTGCAACGGGTTAGCCCCATTTCCCAGGGGCAGAGAAAAAGCTTTAAAAAGCCCTTCTTAGACAAGTGGTGATGAAGGAATAGAAGAGAGTGATGACACCATTTCCTGTCGTTAGCTCATCTTATCAGATTAATCATAGTGGGAGTCAGAGGAGATTTCACTTTGAGAGGTTTTAATTGACTGTGAATCAGTGGATTGGATCAATCCCACAGGGGCATGCTGCTTTAGAATCACTTCACCTGAAGCTAGGTTCTGATCAAAGCTTTCACAGCTAAGTCTTTATAAGGGATCACATAAGTGGTTTAGGCATAGAACACCAGGTCTACTGAGGCAAAATGTAGAATTTATTGTAACAGACATAAGAAAAATGTATCTGTAAAATTGAAATTCCTTCAAATATCACTCTGAGAGTTTCAGGTGATCAGGAAATAAAAGCACAGCGAAAAATGAAAAGGGGTTGTATTAAAAGCACGAGTGGACAAAATCACTACTGTACGTAATTTACGTCTGAAGACGCACATCATGCTGCAGAATTGTCAAACCGAAATTCCTCACCTGCAGTGCACAATTATGGGACGGTTTCCAGACTGCTGCTGCTGCCTCTGCACCGCGGCAATAATGTCAATCATTCCTCTTCCCTCGGCTGGTATTCCGATCTCAGGCCATCCGTGGAAGTGGAAGTGTCGGACGTGTTGTGACTGCTTTTCCTGGTGAGATGGAGAGCTTACTCTTTTATTTTCATGCAGGTAAAAATGGTAGCTATAATGAAATTTCATGAACTGCTTCGTCTGTAAAGACAGCACTGAGGACACAGCACGGTTCATTTTAAAATTTCTTTTAAATGTTATAATAAAACTTTACGCACTGGTCTGTAGGTAAGCACCATGTCTTTGAGAGTGAAGGTTTCACACAGCGTATCTCCAGTCAGCTCCACAGTATAATCTCCAAATGTTACACTGCCCTCTGATGGCCAATACTGGAAGCACTTCTCCTGGTTGGAAAGGTCAGATGGAAATAAAATAAGGCTATGTCTGACTGATTTATATCCAATTTTTGTTTTTATATTTTCAGAGTGCACCAATATAAAACTCTTAAATACATACACAGACTTTCAGGAAAAAATTAGTCAGCGAAATAATGGAATAAAAAAGATGAAGATTAAATGTGCAACTCCATTCTTAAGCCTGTACTTTTGCAAGAGCACCATACTGTACCTGCTCTCTCTCTTTGAGTTCGGTGAGCATAACGATTGAATGACACCTCCACTCCCACACCATCCTCCAGAAGTCCTCCACTGTGTGAGACAGGGGGCCCTGGGTTGCGATAAAATAGTCCTTCTGCCTGTAGCCCTGGAGGGCAGATCAGCCGGTAAACAACACTTGAGAGTGCAGCAAACATAATATTTTGCATTGTTTGTAAAGGAAACAATGAGCTTTATATATACTTGTATGGGAAATCTATACAAGAGGTCATAAGGGAGTGCTTACATCAATAAAGGAGGCATTGATGTAGTCGGTGAACTCCTGTCCTCTTTTCACTGAGAGTATTACTCGGTTGAAATCATCTGCAAAAGAAAAAAAGGAAAATAAAACTTTCCGCAAGTGATTCCTAATAAAATAAAAGTTTGAAGAAGCTGATGGGAAAAAAAAACAGCTAAGTAAAACTTTAGCTGTGTTATTAAGGCCAAACAAGCCAGAGCCTATATCAGTTTTCACTGTAAAAAGTTGTACCCCGGCATTCCTTTCCCGGTCTACTCCCAACTTTAAGTCAAGATACAAGCCCTATTTAAATGTCATTGATCACACAGACATGAACTGATTATCCACATATCTGTGTACGGCATCTCTGAAATCACCAGCAGAGTGATACTTTGATGTTACTTGGAAGTGATGTATTATGAAAGTGTTCGGAGTATCAGAGAAGTCCTTACACGGAATGATCTGAAGCACACGGTTCTTCTTCATGTTTGCAGGGAGGTTCCCAGTTCTCATGTTCTCCTTCATTATGCGAACGTTGGTCAGCTTCTGATGGGAGAGAACACCACCACCAGAGGATTGACGTGATCAAAAAGTTTGTTTTCATTAGTGCAGTGGGCAGTGCAATGCTAATAAACATGGTGATTTTTTTAAAGCTAATGTGGACAATATTTCTTTTTAAAATACAACAAGTAAAAACACAGAACTTGGATAAAAACATGCACATTACTAGAGAGGAGAAGAAGAAGAGGCAATAGGGAATAATTCCAGTCAGTGTGTTGGGAACTGTGAGGAACTCTTTGCAGCAAAAATGAGACATTTTCAGCAAGCTACAGTAAATTCTATGTGGCAGATGGTGGTGCCTTATAAAGTTTTAGTTGATTCAAAACATTGTTATTTATGTTACTACTGCCAGGAGTGGCACCCTGGGCAAGTTTTCCATGAAAATATACCGATGCAGGGCACAGGGTGATGGTGACAATTCATTACTGACTGAAATGTTAAAGAGTGAGCTTCTTTGTTCTTACCCTGAACTCCTCCTCCAGGCCCAGCCTGTCGTGGGGAGCCCTGGTGTTGTGAAGCCTCTGCAGATGGCCCTCCAGAGAGCACACATCTAGCTCTGTGTCTCCATACAGATAGTACTCCAACAGAGCCTGGTAGATGAAGGAGTACTGCATCTGAAGAGGAAGACAGAGGAAGTGAAGGAGACGAAGAGGCAGAAGTAGTTGCTTTATTTTGCCAAAATATTTCCCACTATTTCTGCATCACAGACACAGTTGTTTTTCCGTGTCCTCGGCTTGTTTATGCCTCAACTAGGGCGAGTGAGTTGAGCTGTCAGTCCGAGGTACAACAGGTCGGAAAGGGTCAACACTTACATCTGTCTGGATGAGTTGACAGCGCTGTTCTCGTATTCTGCTCACAAAGCCAAAGACATCCAGCCTCTGTTCCATGTGCATCATGTCGATCATGCTGTCAATGACAATGAATGTCCCAGTCCTCCCCACCCCGGCACTGTGGAAACACAAACGAGAAGAAGGCACAAGGTCCTCTCTGTAACAAAGAGCCAAGTGTAGCAACAAAATGTGTAGAATAAGAATCCTAGTCGACATTTTATCTACAAATAGAACCATAGAAATAGAAGAGCCTTGTGTTTTTTGCATTCATAATACAGAGTAACAGACACGATATAATGATATATGTATTGCCATACTATCCCTGTATTCTTAACATAGATGTCAATTGTGGGCATCCCCAAGCATGTGTAAAAGTGCTTCACCTCTGAAGCCCAAACACACTCCTAATAGATTTACAAGGGTCATTTCAGCAGACGGCACCTCTGGGAGCACAGAGCTGGGATTCCACAGTGGGGTGTTGAAGCCTCGTCAATGGGCCCCATTCAAGAACAACAGTCCCTCTCCCTGAGCACCTGTTGCAGCAGTTGCTACAATCGGCTGCAGATTTCTTTGGTGAGGGTTTACACTGATCTGCCAGACAAACATATGTATACATACCATCTCTGACCTTATAAAACATTAGTTCACAATATATATTTAACAAAACATTATCAAATAATAAGAAGTTTACCTGAAACTTCCATTCCATGAAAACCAGGAAATCTTTGTGTTTGTGAACTGTTTTTTTCACAGAGCATATTTTAGTTTTGCACATAGATTTATTGCAAAACAGGATATACATAATTCAAAGAGGGTTTTATCCTCCTTAATAAGGAATTTAATCAACTCTGACTGTATTTCTACGGCCCTCTTCTGACTTCCTTTATGCTGCATATTTTACCTGCAGTGCACAACAATGGGTCCAGCATAGGATGGATTGACAGTCTTGACCTTCTTGAGGAATTTCAGCATGCCGATGGGTGAGAATGGCACCCCGAAGTCTGGCCAGCTGGTGAAGTGGAGCTGGGTGACCAGCCGGGGAGCGCGGGGACCATCACTGCCCTGCTGTGAAGCACAGACACACAAAATTTATACCAAATCAGTCAACTGACTTGCCGTCTATTATATGTATGACACCTGTCGACAAAAAACAGTAAATGACCTCAAAGTAACTGAACAATTTGTATTTTTTGTCATTTTGTTATTTGTGACAGAATATAATTATTAAACATGCACACTGTTTGCCTTTGCCTCACTCTCATATCTTATGAATACTCTCTCAAGAGGATGTAATTTCATTCTCTTGAACACTTGGTTGCTCTGTGTTCAGAGAGCTGAATGTGAAAGCACCCGGTCTGTCAGCTTGTACTGCAACGCTACAGCAAAGTCACAGTTTTCACAGAGTCAGAGAGGATATCTGCACGTCTCTGGCTTCAAATGGAGAGGGAACAAAGTGAATTTTGCAATCTGAAGACTTCGCAGTACACTGAGATGGAACTTGGCAGTCAAAAACATAAGAAAAGAAATACAGATACTTTATGTGTATGAACCTACAAGGAGGAGTTTTAAAGAAGAGCACATGTGCACAGTATTTACTGTATGTTAAATACACATACATATTGATAATTTTCTGCTATATTTATTACATATACCCTTTAATATTCTTTAATGTGTTTTCGTTAATTTATTATATTCTGTATCCTCTTATAGGTCAATAAAATGTTTAAATTTCCCTATGGGGAATAGTACTTTTCACACCATTTAAATTCGGCTTTATTTCTTGTTTAATTTTTAATAAGAGTCTTGCTATTATGATTATAGATTTTTAGAGCAATTAAGTACGTACACTATTATTTTCCGAAGTGTGTCTAAATAAAAGCGACCTTTATCTTAATCTTTGGCAATATTTTGGATAAATGTTGTCCTTGTCCCTACTGTGCAGAATAATTCTAATTTAATTATAATTAATGTAGTGTGAGGTAATCAAGCTCTATGTTGTGCCAAATAAGACTCTGTTGTGCATTTAAAAATAATAAACGCTTGATAATTACCTTAAAAAATACATCCCTCATTATTATTCTGATATGTAGATATTTTACTTACATACTGAACACAAAACTTTCTAATGGTGTAGTCCACAAGTACAGTGAAGTCCTCCATTGCCACCCTGATATTCCCGTACATCCAGCAGCCTTTTTCTGGCCAATACTGAAAACATTTGTCCTGGTAAGAGAATCACAACAATAAAGAGGTTATTCTTCTTGAATTAGAAGGCCGTACAACAGTCTTACCAACGTAACTTACATATGAAAAATGTCTGTAGGGCAGCAACTGTTGTGTATATCGTACGTGTATGTATAGAAACGTGTATTTGACGTGTGTATTTCACAGTCCAATTCAAAGGCAATCACAGGGACTTTGTGAAACTCAGTCAGTCAATAAGATCTTCACCATGACGTTTCAACTCATTAACTAGAATCTCAGACTAATTATCATGAAGCCTCTTAGGATCTTATCAACAATTATTCCATCATTGATCCCCAATGCCTCCATTCTGCCCTATCAAACCTGCTGTTGAGCTCTCAATTGATCATCCCTTTGAGGCTACATTTAATGCGATGCTAAGTAATCTGCTGGGTGACACTTTGTATAGATTCGTAGTTGGGAAAGGGGGTCAAACAAATTATGCCCATGACTTTGGGTCATGAGAATACAAAAGGGTTTCAGTAATGGTGCACTGGAGCCATATAGATTGTATAGGTTCACTTTATAACACGCCCTACTTGGGAGTATTCGAAGAATGCAATGCAGAGGGAAAACACTCTTAGACAAACCTCCTTCCTTTCTTTCAGATTTGTCAGCATTACTATAGTTGCAGTTTTCTGTTCCCAAATCATCCGCCAGAAGTCGGCCACTGTCTCAAGCTTTGGCCCTGAATCAAGAAAAGTATTAAAACACAGTACAAATGGTCATAAACTCAACTACTTGCATGTGCAAAAGTACTTAAAATATGAAACCAGGCAAAAATGTACATTTACCTTGAGCTGCAATGAATTTGTTCTTCTCTTTATAACCCTGTGTGAAAAAAACAGTATAATGATTAATGCCGCACAGAGCCAAGTCATCCGCATTAAAAGCTCATTTGTAACTAAGACTCACATCTATGTAAGAGGCATTAATGTAGTCTGAAAATAGATGTCCATCAAGATGACTTAACACCACTCTTGAATGATCATCTGTGGAAGAAAGAAGAAAAAAGGCCACCAGTCTGTAAATAAAGGTGCTTCCTATTTTTCATTTGAGCCAACATCACCTTTTCTTACGATTTAGTAATCAATAAAACTGCAAGTCTAAAGGTCACATTAATATTGTCTGCTGCAGAGTATAGATCTTCACTCACATGGTAAAATGTTGGGGTATCTGTTTTTCTCTCTGTTGTGCTCTCTGCTCGCCTCCTCAAAGGACCCGTGGTGGTAGTAACACGGCAGCGACTATAAGGAAAGAACCCAATCCTCGTGAGATAAAAATAAAGCCACAGGTACAACACAGCCTACACACATAAGATTTTTATTACTATCTTCTATACTTGTTCTGTGCTTGCAGGTCTTAGTCAGATACAGACTGTACTGTATAGTCCACGCAACACAAACTCATGCTTACATTGAACTCTTCTCTGAAGAGCTTGCCATCGTCTGCGGAGCGTATCCGGTACTCCTCCTCCAGCGAGTCCAGAGGGATGGGGAAGTACCTCTTGGATGGCGAGGGAGATCTGGGAAGGAGGACCACTGTCTGCTCTCCTGTGTTTAAAGGAATATATGGCGGTCAGACTGCTAACGTTTCCCAATGGAGAACATTACAAGCTCTCATAGCACCTGCAAAAACAAGCCTGATGGCCATTAAGATTTCCTACTTTTGTGGGTACATGACAGAAATGATTTCTTGAGTCATAAACATGCTGCTGCTGCTGCACGAAACTGTCTTAACTCAGAATTTGGCATTTCCCTTTATTTATTTATTTTTTACTTGAAGTGAGAGTTTATATGGCTCCCTACGTGCTGGGAAAGCTAAGAGCCTTCTAAACCCTTTCCAGCTACCTTGGAATTCAGATCATGAAACTTTCCTAGTCTATAAAGAACATAAATCTATAATTAAAATAAAAAATAAATAAAAAGTAAAAGGCTGAATTATATTTTCATGCACTGGCAGTTATATTGAGTGCAGCACAACAGTACCTTGTTCCTCCATGAAGCCATTTGGAATCTTTTTATCCACCGAAGTAACTAGAGCTTTCCTGTGGTTTTTGAACCTACAGTAATGACAGAGAGAGACGTACAGAAAGCAAAACCATGAGAGAAAATAAAGGGCTATCTTGAAGAAGCAGAAAATGAGCTGACCTCAATCACTAGAACATAGCTGTTAAGCACATAAGGTAGGCAAACAACAAATACCAAAACCAATATCAACCATCTGAGAGAGGCAAAGCTGTTCCTCCTCATGTCGTCGTCAGGCCGGTCAGTGGATGAGTGTCTGTGGCCTGACCTGACCTAGCTGTTTCTGTTTGCTGTCTTTCTTGTGTTGCAGCTGTTTACCCATAAGCCACTGCTCACCGCCTGTTTCCAAACCACCCCCACCCTGATGCCCTGACACACATGCTCACACATATGCTAAAAGGGAAATAGAGATTAAGAGAGATAAAGAGAAGAGAAACACTCAAAGAAAGGCAGATAGAGTAAGTTGTGAGTGTGTGTGTGCAGGTTTATTCACCTGAGACAGTAGATTGTCAGCAGGACAACGATGATAAGAAGCAGGGATATGATCAGTGTTGAGGGCAGCACATGAGCACCCTGATGGGTGGGGGTTTCTGGATTGAACACACACAGAGAGAGAACAAATAGATTCAAACACATTGATAATTGATATTTAAAGGAATAGTGTGATGTTTCGGGAAATACACAAATTAAGTTACAGCCAGCAGCCAGTTAGCTTAACTTGGCACAAAGACAAAGGTAAGAAAAAGGTAGTAAAGTATGCCTACTAGCACCTCTAAAGCTCATTAATTAGCACATTGTATATTGTTTGTTTCATCTGAGCCAAAGATATGGTGCTAATGTGCAGATTTTTTTCTAGCTGCTAAGCCAACCATCTTCTGGCTGCAACTTCATAGCAGACAGATATGACAGTGGTATCAGTCTTTTAATCTACTCTTTGCAAGAAAGCAAAAAAACATATTTTCCAGCATATCAAATTATTCCTTTGAAGGAAGACTATGTAACTCATTAGCATTAATAGAGAAGAGTCATAATGTCAGCACACAGTAATATCTGTCTATAGCTTGCTAACATTAACTAACATACCAGACCGAATAAACCTGCACCAGCAAAATCCCTCAGTGTGTGACTAAGGGTGTGATCTAATTCTAATAAATTAAACATTTGTATGCAAAACAAATTTTTATTTTGTTGCATAGTCTCACTTTAACATGTTATGCTTGCCATATGCAGTGTAATTGCTCTTCAGTCATTGCAACCCTTACCTGCAGTTTGGTTCTCATGAGATGAATTGTTCACAGCAATAGAGATCCCAATCAGAAATAACACCATTGTCACTGTGGATTTACAAACAATCACAGAAAAAAAGATTAAACCATGTAATTCTTCACAATTTCCACTAGAAGGCACCAAATCAATATGAAATACATCTGCGGCCTGGTGAAGCAGACAGAGGGCAGAAAGGAGAGCTCAGCTTTGATGATGCTTGAGAGCGATGTCTGTCTCTCTGCTGAGCAGTTTAAGTCCTTATGGGAAATCTGCTTGCAGTCTTGTCCTGTCAGGCGGACTTGAAAGAGCAGCAGCATATCAAATAACTTGATATTCAGACATCAAACGAGAGAGGAGGCTTTAACCCACAGGTGACAGTAACCATATCCCCTGTGGACCCCGTGGATTTGACAGAGGAGTTGAGCTCAACGTAGTATTTGTTAGAAGAAGCCATCTCATTTTTTGTGTTGTCTTTGATGTGCAGCACTGTGCAGTCTGGCAAATCGTCCTGCACGCTGACAATAAGACATGCACACTGTTCTTCAATTAAGTCGTTTTTAAATACAGTAAGTTCAATGGCCATAAATATGATTTCCAGGGGAACAGTAATATTGATAAACAGGTTTAGAGTGTTGTGTGAAAATTACCATATGTATATAGGTTATACTGTTGGCTCTATGAAGAAGGCCAGATGGTGTTGTTTTTCTTTTTACTGCAGCTTCTCCTGTTTTCTCTCCCTCCATCACTCTTGTCTCTCTCTTTCACTCCTTCTATAGTGAACCATCATTTTATTCTAAACCACATTCTCACTCTTGCCTTTTACTTTATTGCAGGAAGATATTAGTGATTTATTTGGGGCAGAGCTCTGCGAGTGTCTTTCCAAAAGGAAAAGGATATGGGAAGTTCCTCGCAACTCAACCAGAATTAAATCGATTCTGACACATTATCCTTGAGCCTTATTATCTCCAAAATGTAGCGGCCAATTTCTCCAAACCCACACCCATTTCCTTTTTTCTCCCCATCCTCCAAATAAGAGGGTAAGAAATCACAGAATAAATTTGGCAAACAGGGCATATCTGCGTAAATGGCTTTGATGGAATAAATGAGAGAAGCTAGAGATGAGTGGCCTAATTTATCCTCTGTTCCAAGTCCCCTTCTCGTTATAGAGGCCACAAGACTGGATGGAATAATTCATTGTGTCAATTTAGTTATTCTAGAAATGGGTCATCTAGGGGCCTCATTTGTGTTCTTTGAGAAAATGTCTTGCACATAACACTAGGGGGTTTCATGTAACTATATTTCCCAAAGCTTTTGTAGGAAATAGAGCGACATAATAACACTCTAACAATATGCTCAAAACTAAATGAATGTCTAAACTTATAAAGTATTATTGGACAACAAATTAGGGGCTCTGTGTTTTGGCCATTATACAGTCTCGCTCTACAGCAATACATGGTACAACACACAAGATGCACTCGTACATTTGCACGCTCAAAGGGTTGTAATCAGGGTGGCACCAGCTGACAAAAATCCTTGTATTTTATTTATTTAATGTTCAGAATCCAGTCTGGTATCTATTTTTCATGCTAATCATTGCACAACCAAATAAAATGCCCCAGAATCATATCTGTGTGCAAAATACACACCACACACCACACACTGCTTTTTCTCATGTATGCATGCCTGCACATACGTCCCACGGCCAAAGGCTATGTGTTGCATATGTGCCGCACTCTGTCGGAGGGAGCCAATTCTCTCCCCAGTGTTAACAAGCTGACAGTGTCGGCACCTGTTCCCTACTCTACCCCACTGGGCAAGTCACATTCACTCACACAGACCCATCCTACAGCTCTATGCCGCAAGGCATGCTGTGTGTATGGGTCATTGAACAGGCCACGGCATATCTGTCATCTCCTGGCAGCTACAGTATATACAGCATAGAGCCAGGAAATGAAAGAACAGAAGTGAACGATAAAAATATGTCAAATGCACTGTCACTTTAAGTGACTCGGTTAAATTAAAAAATGATAGCCCCAATCTAGACTCAATGTTTTACTGTACCACAGAAAAGAAACTGATGGAAAAAAAAGGAACTGGTAAAATATAATAGGTCTGTGTCTGTTGATAGAGTCTGTACTGCAGTGTGACCATTTGACCAACAGAGGGAATTAATAACACAACTAAAGAGTAGGTTGATAAGAAGAAAATAGTAGTCTTATTTCACTATATTGTAACCATTACCAGTTTGGTCACGTACGTATTAGTTTATTTATGCAGTTTGAATGCACTTATTCTAAGTCACTTAATAGTTAATAAGTTAATAATTAGTGTAATATGATCTTTCCAAAGTGATTAATTAGATATTTTACTTCTTTTTCAGACCAAAGAAGAAAGTTAGTTTTTGTACTGTAGACCAAAGCCTTTAGTAAAATTAAGTCTTCAGTGTCATATATACAAGGCATCAAAAGTCACAAGTCCTTGATTATTAATGCAATCTTTATATCTTCAGTAAAACTGATGCACTTTCTTGGCGTCGTTTTAAGGAACAAATTTGCAAAGCCATTGTGACTTGAACTATTGTCTCTTATTAAAACACTGACTTCTGTAATGGTTTTGGTAATATAGTTCATTTTTTGAAAATCTACATTTATCTTCATGAAACTTGTCATGACTCATTCATTATGGCTCATACCACTTACTATACACTATTTATATATCTTAATTAGCATCTTACATCATTTGGCCCTCATATGAAAATGGATTTGTTGGAGAGACCCATTTTAAACAAGGGAAAAAAAAGCTTTCGCATAATTGGCCTTGACATTCCCACCAGCTATTGCATCATTTATTCCAGATCCCTGATTTTTCTGTCTTTTTAATGAAATACTAACAACAATGTGATGACTTCAACCTCCAGCACCTGCTTCACATAAATGTTCTCAGGGAATTAAATTATACTGCATCACTTGAGTTGGGAGTGCAGAAGCACCATCCATGCATGACGCAATGCTAACATTCAGGATGCCTCACATGCTGCTTGAACCTTGGGGGTAGGGTTAATATTTTGTGCACAAATATGCATTATTCAACTTCCGATCCGCTTTGCTTTTGTGCTTGTGAATAGAGACGAGATAAAGATCACCGCATGAATGTGCATTAAATGTGAGACAGCTATAGAAAGTAGAAAAACACTTCTGTGATATATACTGTACATCTCTCAAATCCCAAGACTCACAGCACCCTATGAATCTGTTCTGCTTCACTACAACACCCCCCTCACCTCGGCTCTCACATGAAAACCTGAGAACAGAACTCAAAGAAAATAGACATCAGAAATAGAACTGCACACACCTTGTGCCAGACCTGCAGCCTGTTAACTCGTCTTTATCATTAATTCAAACCAAACTGTGCAGGGGAAGGTGATGTATTATCCATTTCCAGACAGAAACACAAAAAGATGACTAATCCAGGTAAGAGATGTTCCTTCTTAAAATGACTGTCCTTAAAGATTTAACCTCACATATGTGACCAAAAGACAGATATTCCCTTGCAAAATAATAATAATAATATGTCAGAGTGCTGAGAAAATGCATTTATGCAAACATTGGTTCAGAATTCTAAAGACTTTAACCATTTATCATATGACTCTATGCTGACCTCCTGGCCTTAGTTAAACACCTTGTATAAATAGTTAATTATATGCACACATGCAATACGATGTAAGCTTCTCAAATGCATACCATAAAAACTTTAATGTCTTGAATAATGTTAATTATGCAGTAGCTTTAAATCAATTTAAGAGCTTATTAATATCTTATCAGATGCTAAATGCAGTTACAGCAAGTAATTTGATTTCTGCTGATTTTTGGACTCCTCAATGGATCTATTTAATGTCCTTATGTCACTATATGATAGCCTGGATGGAGGCTCATTGGGGTGACATTCATTTTTTAACCTTCACAACCAGGTATCTAAAGTTCCCTCTTAAATTTCATCATGAAGCAGCATCTGCTACTATAGGTAGTTTGTAGCTGAATTGTCACATGAAATAATCTCACAAACTATTGGACATTAAATCTTCTACTATGGTTGAAAATAAGGTTTGTTGTGTGTATCTTGTTCATGGAGATAATTAACTGTATTCTGTGAAAATCACATTCATAACTTGGTGCACGGTCAATTTTCTTAACAGATTAAGCACTGAATGTGGAAAAAGCATACTGAGTTCTTCAGGAACAGAGACACTGATATTCTCAAAAGATTATTCCTTTTTCTGTGGTGTCTAATCTGCTATTGTGTTTCCACTTAATGTTCTTGTTCACTGGTTTGATACAACACAATAAATTGCAGCCCTATATTTGTGGTAATTTATTTCAGCTTCACAGCAAGGAGCCTCAATGAGTATAGCTTGCTCAGCAGCCCTTCTTTACATCTTTTTCCTAATAGCTTGTGGACAAAACATGGAAAACACAATGATGAAATGTTTACACCTTTTACAGAGGCGCTGCTGTGAGGTGTCAATAGGAACCAGCTGGCAATTCTAGTTGTCCTATAGAACAGGTTGTCTTAAAATCTTCAAATTAGAGAAGAAGAAAATATATATATATATATATATATATATATATATTTTTTTTTTTTTTTAAAGTGAAAACAATCATACGTGTTTTACATTAGTACTTTGTACTATTTAAATAGCACAAGCACTAACCCCGTCTGTTGCTTTTATGTTGTTCATGTATGTGCTCTGTCGATGTGTCCTTTCATTTTAAAATCAAACCCAAGCCTGAATCCCTACCTGCTTAAATCTGCTTTTACATTCACAATCTTTTCATTATGGTGCATGTAGCCTATCCCAGCATGCACTGAGCAGGGAGGCTGGGTGCACATGGGGCAGCTCTCCAGTCTATCAAAATGTGTTTTATGGTGTACAGTTATGAGTTAAGGAAGGATGGAGCTATATAAAACCACATATAGCCATGAGCAGAGCCAACAGTTGATTGCTATGTCATCTATTAATGAACACTGTTAGTAAAATGATCTTCTGTGCACTTTTATTCACTCCACAGTTTAACAAGATGCTAAGCGCACTGCAATAAAACAAGACTAAGAGTCTGCAGCCATGCTGAGGCTATACTTAGGCACAGTAGTCAGCATGTTAACATGTTTACAATGACAAAGTTAACATGTTGATGTTGATGATTTAGGAGGTACGTATGTTTACTGTGTTCCTTGTTTGCCAAATGATGTAAGGATTGGGATTGCCATACCACACATTCATAACATACATTACATGTTGATTTATTGGTATTTACCACAGTAGGTAGCTAAGCACTGAAATGATCAAAAAATGCACTGTTTCAAAGTTATTCAACATGTTCCATCAATGACACTGTGTAGCTGACATTGATTGATATTCAGATATAATTCTTATCTGAAGGATGCATGACTACAAATTTCAAGACATCAGTGAGACATAAAAAATACTGTTAAACATATGGATAGCATTTATACTACAGGATAGTAATTTGCTTTACAACAAAGGTAAAGAATGTTCTGTTTAAAGGGGTATCTCAAATGATAACAAAATACATCAAATAGATAGCTGCATCCAATCATGTCTCAGCTTCTTCACAGATCAATACAGTCTCAAAGACAGATCCACATTTTGTGCTTGGCACAGAATAGATGGCATGTCTTGTACACAAAAAGATAAAAGTATTTTTTTTTGTTTCCAGGGAGAGAAAGAACAAAGGCAGAGCAAAAAAAAAAAAAAAAGAATACCAGAAACAGCCACCACTTCCATCGTCAAGTGCCAAGGAAAAGGATGGAACGAGAGCACAAACACATGTCAGTAAAGTGTGGCAGCAGAGAGGAAAGATGAGAGAGGAGATGAGATGAGAAGAGAGGGGAGAGGAGTGGAGCTGGAGGAGATAAATGTCTAGATTCTGGGTTCAGAGATAACAGCCATAATGGCAGACATCCTTGGTACACAGAGGCAGTAAAAGGATGAAGCTGCACAGCCTGGTAAGTCACTGCTATATCTTCAAATGTCATTTGCTGTATTTCACATACAAGGGAGGCAACAAGGCTGCCTTTCAAAATACATCTGTCGTACCCTTTACAAAACATTATATTGCAACACTTCCTATCAAAAAGACATGATGCCTAATACTGGGAACACTACTGCATCTTTATTTAATCTTCTCACTCCTCTTTACATGTCTTCGATCACTGTCTGCTACATAGTTAAGGTCAAAGAATTGATCTGGAGAGATGATTTCAAATCCAATTAGTATCATCTAGAAAGTAGACACTAATTATTGGATTATTTCTCCATTCATGGATTGAATTTCAATTGATTTCCTGAAAGCATATTGACCTGGTTTGTGGTCAGATGGATTAATTAAAAGACTTACACTTCCAAGCAAAGCCAGTATGATCTGGTATCAGTTGACCTGTTACTCCATAGCAGCCATGTGGTCCCAGTTCCTCTCTTGGTTGGACTTATCGGGGTGTCTTACCCTCAGTCCGCCTCTTACTCACATCCTCTCTGAGATATTGGACGAAGGGATGACTGAGACTGATGACTTGGTGGCAGCGCCTGAGGTCGTTTTGAGGTGTGTCAGCGCTTTAGATTTGGATCAAGTCACAGGGCATCATGGGAACCTGGAAAATAATACAATAGTTAGACGTGTATTCAAGTTCCACCAAACCCAAAAGCTATTCTACATATTATATTGTTAAGCAGTAACAGAGACAGATTTTCTGTGACTCACTGTTTGAGTCTGACTCAAAGAAAAGAAAAATCCCATGAAATGCATCAATACACAACAAAAGAGAAGTGGAATGAGTGGGAGTTTCCATCTGTGCACAGTATGTCTGACAGAATGACGATGCATTTATTTAACTATGTGTCTGTGCGTGTTTGTGTGTGTGGATGTGCAACCATTCGTACTGTACGTGCCCACTGTTTGTGTAATGTTTAGTGCACTTCTCTGCCACAACCTCTGTTATAACTTACAGAACCCACTGTTGCAAGGCCAAAACATTAACAAGCTACTGTATCTCCAACCATGCAAAACTAATTATGCCCAAATAAATCTTCTGAAACAGTGTTTGTGGTACACATTCAACGCTTCACATCAGTGTTACCCAATTAAAGTTACCACTAAACACGGCCCCAGATCTGTCTGTGAATGTGACTATACAAGAAAACCACTGCATGAAGTATGTTGGAATACATTCTTTGCTATTTACACAAAGACTTTACTGTCACATTATTCTATCGCCTTGCTTGAGTCTGAGAACGAAAGCATGCCCCTTCTGCCCCTCACTCCTACTCTCCCAGAGTCTCACTGCCCACAGGTGTGAGACACAAAGCCATATTGTTAACACTTGGCCACTGTGACGCAGCCGAGCAGAAAGCAGCAGAGAAGAGGTAAATTAGTCACTAAACACAGCTGGACGAGCCCACTCAGTCTGAGGAAAATGAATGAACAAGGTATGGAAAACACCTCTTTTCCCCCTGTATAGGTGCTGGGCTCAACTTTTCCTAATGTTACAAACTCTTTGGCACCTCAGCATAAACGTGTTTGCCATTAAAAGCAGCCCATTTAACTGGAGAACTGTAAACCTGGTCAAAGGATCCTTCATAAATGAGCCTTCAAAAAAGTGCTCCAATGGTTTAGTATTGCACTTTCATAAAGTTCTGGGACTTACAAGAAAGGTTACAGTTTTTTTCTCCATTATTAGAAACAAAAGCCAGGTTTTGAGAATACTTGACTCAAACACCAAAATAGTCCATGGGCCTGACCAGATTTTGGTACCACTCAAGGTGGCAGAATCTAGTTAACATTTTGGAAAAGGTATGTATATAATTCATATTTTGATTTGCTTTGTCACGATATATCTTTTAACAGCAGGGCATATCCTCGCTTGATTTATGAACCTTTATAACCTATAAAACTATGTTTTAAAGGATACACACTTCGCTTTCAGTAAATTCCAGTTGTGAGTCAGTCTGAAAGACACATTTTAGCAATGTGACAACTAAGAACATCACAGGCACAAAATAAAAAAATTAAATAATAAATTGTGTTGGGTCACTTCAGACCTTAAATGACAAGAATGTGTTGTCAAGAAAATCTAAAATTTTACAGGCTTTGCCTTCTAAAAGGAAGTTCAAACATACATTCATTCAATGGTCATACAAAATATTTTAGGTAGTCTGGTTACTGCTCCATATCACCAGTATATGAGTCAAGGTTTTGAAAAACGCTGGATCCTACACCAAACATAATTTAACCTTTTTTATACATAAAAAAATCCCTGCCGAGTTATGACTTTAAAACTTCATGCCCAAGCAAAGATTACTCAAGTGAAGCCACAGAGAACACTATACAACAGTTTTCAGGCTGTGTAGCACTAATAAGTTTACATTGACATGTACAATTAGTAAAGTATTCCTTTAAGGTTACACATCTCCAACATGGCAACATGTGGCTTTAATTCAGAAGAGTAACTCTCCAGTGCATTTATTCTGTATGTACCGATGATACAAGAAGGTCAAGCTAAAAACATATACTAAGAAGACATTTTATGTATGTCACTACACAGCCTGTGTGACCTTTGCCCTTGCCCTCAAACATTAATCTTGTTACTGAATCTGTCAATCAAAGATAAATCACAGAGTAACCGAGCAGGAATAGCTACTAGATCTGAGCACATTCAAACTCCAAGGTCGAAGTCCCTACCATTGACAGTATATACAAGGTCCCTACTATTTTCTATACAGCAGGTTTATGAAAAGTTTAATTAACAAGTAGTGGTAGAAAGATATTAATAATACATTAAATAGTTAACATGCTACACTGATGTAATAACATACTTCGAAGAATTAGGCTAGGTTTTTTTTTTAATGTTAATATATTATTATTAATGTTAAAAAGCCTGAGCTAAATGATAATAGGTATAAAAAATTTATGAAATATAAGTTATTCATACTGTATTTCACTTGCCTAAAAGTCTTTTGGGAGACTTATATGAAACCATCTTTTCACACAGAGTATTGTTCTCCTTTCAGCCCTGTGCATTCAATCCAAAGAAGAAGGAGACATGCTCACGGCATACGATTACTGCAGGCACAAGCACTTCCTTTCTGTGCCACTCTGCCCATTGACTAAGAGGGGAAACATGCAGGCTATTAAAGTTTTATGGGAGTGCAGTCATCACCCAGCACTCTGTGGTTCAATCATTAATTCATACCCAAACAGACAACACTGAGTACTGTAGCTAAGCAGGGCTGTGAAGTAAAGTTATTTCTTCTGGTTACATAGTCAAGAATTAAATGTCGCTATTGTTGTCTTTTTTTTGCAAGGTCAAAATATTTCAAATCCATGCCTAAATATGATGGGTGTTATTCACATACAGCTAACAGTTAGCTTTCATATAATGGGGTAAACTACTGCAGGTCTTTAGACAGTACAGACGCATGCAGTAAGCTTCATTCATGACGCTCAATGTGCAGAGCAAGCTGAGACTATAATTTGTCAGTCAGGTTGGAAAGTGTGTTTGCTTCAGTCGGCGAGGTTGTCTGCTGAGAAACTGCCTGAACAAGAAGGCAAAATGACAGCATGAGATAAAGACATACCATGCTGAAACAGCTGTGTCTTTTGCAGAATACATTAGAAGACATTTCTTGGTGTACATGTAAAGATCTGCCACTTTGAGACTTCATATAACTTCCTACTCACGCAAATCCTGAACCCTAACTGACTGGTCTACTGAGCATGTCACAGCCTGAGCCTCAAACACCCATGCTCTGATATAAGTGTCTATCGCCGGGGGAAATAGCTGAGAAATATTATTTTTATGCCTCCATATGAGAGGATGAGTAGAGTAATCTCAAGCCTCAAGTTTGAGGACTCTGAAAATGACACTTCTGGGGCACAGTGTAGGTGAAACCAGGGACGAGAGATAATAATCATTGCAATTACAGCTTCACCACTCGTTCTATTGCGGCTCAACCAAGGGTAACAAGTTTGCTCCTTTCACTAGGGTCCAGTCGAAATAGGTTAAGTGGCCATGTTCAGGTTTCCTTGTCTCCATCACCACGAGTGTTTCCTGAAACAGCTCTTTGTTTTTAAGTGCAGCAGCTCTCATTAAAATGAACAGTCACTGTCTCCCCTCTCTATCAGACAGAGTGACAATATGAGCACTTCCTCTTCTCAGAGCAAGTTACGCCACAAAACACTGACTTAGCACGACAAGCCTCTAACTGACTGACATACTTGAGTCAGAGGTTAAATGCAAGAATGGATGTCGAGCCTGGATATTACAGAACTTTCCTGGACTACATCCAGATGAATATGTAAGGAGCACAGTCATTTTCATCCAGCACGCTCTGTCATAAGCAAGACTGCAGAGGCAGTCCAATCAAAAACAGTTGCAGTGTTTTATGAAGTTATGAGATCTTTCTCAAAATGACTCACACTGTCAGTGTACACATGCAGACAGTCTTACCTCTTATTTCAATGATAAAATGGTGACAGCCAACAGACAAAAAAAAGCAACAGCGACAAAAGTCAGACCGTTAAGATCAGCCCATTACTAAGGGTAATTACCCAGTCACCTCATGAAAACTTTATATGGTTAAATTAACCTTTGATTAGCCCACAAGACTTAATGTGCCAGCAACGTTAAAACAAGTGTAATCAAGATGACAAAATGTTAAACATATAAATCAGTTCAAATACTGCACGAATCCTCTCTGGCTTAAATATTTCTGCAAGTGTAAACTCTCAAAAACAACTTAATATGTGGTCTTTAAAACAAATCTATAATGTGCACACTGAGTGGTGACACAAAACTGTTTAAATACAAACTCTAACATGGATGGAAAAAATGATTCAAGTGCCCTTCAGTGACTGCTTGTTTTTTAAATTAAGATTCTGTAGTTGAGGGGACATTATTAGACCTATACAGAAAACTTTTCAAGCGGTCACACAGACACCAATATTAGTCTATATTATCTTCTACCTCAACCCCCTCCTCTACCCACATTGCTGTCTCCATTCTTCTTTAAGCCCAGGTGTTCAACGCCAATCTCATACCTGATGGTGAAGCACTGAATTAGGTTTTATGACCGACATCTGATAGAGCATCCATGGCAACCTCTAAAATGACATCCATCTGCTTGAGGGATCGTTCAAAGCAAGTGGATCATGTTGACTCAACAGTGACTCAGGTCTTCTTACACAGGCTGTTGTCATATCAATGTCCTCCATTTATGTTTCAAAGTTTAGGTTACATAAACTGCCCATCCATTCCATTCATTCATTCTCTAAAAGTCACATCTAAACCAGTGTAAAACAGGCCAGTGTGGATGCATTTAACATATCAGCATCATTCTTACCTTAGGATATTGAAAAGTCATCTTCAGAAAATTAATTTTGCGCATGTGTCTAACTATAGCTCATGTATTCCCAAGGTGAAAAAGATGTGGGCTTTGTAGTCCAATATTCAGACCACAGATGAGGAATCTGAAGTAAAATTAACATCAGCTTTTTATTAGGCCATTTAATCAGGGAAAGGAACTGATGGCGAAGTTATTGTGAATGAGGTTATGGTGAATGAGGGGCATTTATAATTCATATATGAACACATGGCATTTCCCATGCTGCTACAATATCACCTCATTGTCATAATATTATCATAAAATATGTACTAACCAATTCAATTTCTTCCTGTCTATTCCTTTGTGTTCACATGTTCCAGATTCATGAGTCAGTGTTTGCCATTAGCGCCACAATGGAACCGGTACAAATATGGGAAACTGCAAAAATGTGTTTTGAAGATGTTTATTTTACTTAAACCAGACGTTAGATCTGAATATACCCTTGCATCAAAATAAAGTGAACTGGCATGTTATTATTCTCTGCAGTGATATAACAACCCATAATGTGCAGCATCCTGTAGCTAAACCTGTATGTTAAGTAGCGTATAGCTACAGGCCTGTGTACTACACTATATGTAGCCTACAGTATACTACGTGTACTCGCCCCCTTGCGTTTTCTGTCTAGACCAGTGATGCTGCATATCCATTGCCCCCGTTCCCCATAAAATCTCGTCTGAATTTGAATATGCAATCATAAATGTATGTGATCAGACAACTATTCATATAAAAACAATCATTGGTAAACGATCAGATAATCACATGGAGCATCCTGGTGGTCGCAGGGCGTGTGGATTTGCTCCACTAACCCATATTTACTGTGGTCCATCTTGTCTAGTGTTCAGGAATGGCAGCCGGAATAGAAATAGATCATGTCCAATCCCCTGGGCCTGCATTCGTTTCCCCTCCCTGGAGATTTTGTTTTTGCAAAAAGCATTTTAATGTTTTCAGAGAAACGCAATGTTGTCTGATGAAGAGAGAGAGAGAGAGAGAGAGAGAGAGAGAGAGAGGTGCAGGGAGCCTAACACACACAGCCACACTGAGGTTGCAAAAATGAACCGACACAGAAAAGTCGGTGTTTACGCATAAATAGGGCAGATGGAGAGGTAGCTGTGCTCTGTTTTATTTTTTTCTCGTGTCTTACCGTGGTTGAATCCGTGATGACCTCGCCTCACACGGCGCAGCGGCTGATGGTGTCGGTTTGTGTCGTCTCTCCTGCACGGACCCGACGCCTGCCTGCCTGCCTGTCTGCCTCTTCTGTTGTGTCCTTTTGAGAATAACGTAAAACGCACGAAGTTGTCAATTCATCTAACCGGAGCCGAATAATGCGTCTATGTTCCCCTGACGATCATATTTCCAGCAAATCTCTCTGAGGATGCGCTTCCACCCCCCTCCCTCCCTCCTCTTCTTTCCTGCCTGCCTGGGCTGAGGCGAATTGAGCGGTGTTATGGCAGCCAGAGTGGAGACCGGAGACCCTCCCCCGGGCGCAAAGCAGTGTATCAGGTGGACACTCAGCATCCTTCACATTCCTGCATCACTGGACGATAAAAGGGCAGGCCTGTGCATTAAAAAAGGCACAGTTTGTTCTTGTTTCTCCCCTGTGATAGTGTTTACGGTTGACATTTTAGCATATGACGTTTGTTCAATAGGCTACAGTAAGAAGAAAAAAAGGCTTTAAGCTGTAACATTCCTGTAGTGTTCCTCTGGAGGTTTACACTGACCTTATCCAACTTTATGCTATCTTTCCATGTCATATCATGTTATAAACGTGCATGTTTTGAGGCATATATTTTGACAAACAGATATTTTGTTTATGTTTCTTAGTATTTCTCTATTGGCCTTTAAATCGGTCAGGAGCTCCAGTTTATAGATAATTTAATATTTAATTAAACTTTTTTTTTTTTTAAAACAAGCAGTTCAGAGTGTTTCCGGCCAATACTGTATATCACAAATCATATGGACAACGTTTACAGCAAAAAAAAAGAAAGGTTTTGCTTCTTTTAGAGCATGAATGTATGTAGAGCCATCTGCTGGTAAACCTGTCATAGGATGAGCACACAGTAAAATAAGGTTATTATTTTATGTAAGATAATAAAACCAACCGAGATTTCATGTTGACATGTCAAGGCACAACATGTAATGTAATATTAGGCCTCAGTGTATGTCTGACATTGTTGGAGTACAAACATTTATTTTGAGTGCTTTGTTAAATTTTACATTTTACTTAATTATATGGCTCATGGCCACCTTTATTCTGCTGGTGCATTACAGCTTGTGTAAAATCCCATTTAGTTTCAATTAAATACTTACTACAGTTAGTGACATTTGTGTGTGTGACTCATGAGTCAGAAATATGAGCCACTGGGGAAAACTTGAGGGCAGTTTTGTTAAAGGGCAGCTGTGTAAATGCTCCTCTATTCCCAGGATGTGCAGTCATACTGGCAAATCTCAAATCTGCAGGGGCTGGTGAATATCACAAGGAATATATATATATATTGACATTGTTTATTGCAGTTAGAAAATGTGGTAAACAAATGTGCTTCTTATGGGATAATCCTCTGTGGCTTTTATTGACTTTCCAGAGACATGAAAACAAATCTTTTAGTATAACTGTGCTGGTTTTGCTGACCTCTTGTGGAAGCTGAATTGAGTGAATGGAGTGATTCAATCTGCAGTTAGGGGGAATAGACTGCTGCCACATAAATACATACATACAAACGGTGGGACAAATCCTTTACAATGATTATGTAATGTCTCTGACTAGGTTACAAAATCCCCCACCATAGGGAACTTCTTTTAGTTTTTACTGACAACATTAGACTCCTGAAAATGAACAACATACACAAAGGAGTGAATGATATTCCTTAAGAACATGCTTTCTCACCTGTCTTTCCAGTCAAACTGAATCATAACTGTAAAAACTGTACAAGCCATGAGAGAACTGAACCGTTTGGTGGTTTAATTCTTAAAATGTTTGATTATTAATATTATAAAACATGACTTAGATAAGACAAGATAAAACTATTTTGGGATTACTTGACTACAGCTCCACACAGATGTTTTTTTACTTTTTAACTATTTAGTAATTTATAGCAAATTGTGAGGGGAATATGCAATTATAAGTCATATGAGTCATACGTCAGTGATAACGCTGATTAAACAACCAACATATTTCACTGAAATAAAATCTGCTCAGACCTACTTGCACTCATGCACAAATGTGAGTTTGAACTTTCTCTTAACGTAGCCCATAGCCCCATGGTTGGATGTCTGTGGGAAAATACATAAGGCAAATCTTTTGGATGGGGGTGGTTTGTTTTTTGCAGTAAAAATTTATTTTGTGTAGGACATTTGGCACAGTCATAAAAGCAAAGCCATTCAAATAAAATATGTAATACAGTCAGGTACATAAGCTTTTTGGAGAACTAAGAAAACAGAAGACAAAATAGACTTTAGAGTTAGCAAGAAAGTCACTGTCGAGTGTATGAATGTGAGGGTTAGTCAATGTTTAGTGGTTACTAAAACATATGACTCTACAAAAGATAACCTCACCATCATGTGTCACATGTCAGCTGAAGTTTCCTCTGTAGGACTACTGAGGAAATCACATGCTGTACAGTCAGAGATAATCAAATATTTGTGCTAGAACTGAAAATAAAAAATTTCAATGACTTAATAACGTTCAGTATTTCAGGTGACTGGAAAAAGTCTTCAAAAGTTGCAATTATGGAACGTTCCTTCATCTGTGTGGTACATTTGAAATCATTTAAAGTGAATATTTTTTGGAACATTTTCTGCATCAATGCATTTTGAAGTAAAAGGTCTGATACATATGCACTGTTTGCTTTTTTGTTTGTTCTCTTCTCTTTGCAGCATGTACTCCATTGAACTAGTAGCACCAGTAGGACCCACCACATTTCAGTTGGGGGCAGTGTTGCTCTATAAATACTGCATAAACATCTACAGACTCTGAACACTGCTTAGTGATTCATAAAGTTTACTGTGTGTGTGCAACAATGACCCAATCACTTACCTAATTTACCTCATCATAGAATTGAATTATTTTAATTTCACTCCACAATGAAGTCAAAAGAGATCTAAGCATGATGCTCGGCTCCAATTAACCAAAATGCATTGCGAGTGAGTCATGTGGATTGCTCACCCAGCTGAAGTTAATTGCCATAGAAGAAACACTTAAGCCTGCTGAAAAAACAAAAAAGAAATGATCTCTAAAATGCGGCATCTACAAAGAGCATCTTTGTCTTTATCAGAGCAGCAACAATAATTGTGTTCGCATTGTTTGAGGTTTAAATCATCAGTGCTTTGTGCAACATACAAACATCAGTACCCGATTACTTTGGTCCTCAGTGACGTGATATTTTGTATATTTATTTATTATTTCTTTTTCCCAGATAACATTAAAACTTGCTGGTTTCACAGTGAAACGGCACTGAGGCTTTTAGCAATGGGCATTTCATGAATGGACAATGTGGCACTATGTTGACGGTACATTTGCTTCCTCAAGGCTCAGGAGACCTTTAGGGAGGAAAATGTTTCCCACCTGCATGTCAAATAGACTTCTGTCATGAAAAACAACCCAATCTGACCTTCATCACTTCATTTTATCACATTGGAGGGAGGGAATCCTTCAAGTGGGATTTAGCATTTAATAAGATAGTCTCTATGTTATTTTCTACATCTACTACAATACAGTGATTGATTGCACTCATTTGATTTATTAATACAGAGAAGGAATATCCTGTCTGTGACCAATGACAAACCCACACTACACATCTTAAGCTGTGCCCTTGTACTTGAAGCATCCACAGCTTGGCACTAGCGGGTATATTGTTCTGAAATAGGCCATGATGACAAGTTGTTCACTAGTGACCGCTAGCAGTGATATACATTTTTCTTTCTGTCCTGCCTGTTGGCTCTAATGCCAGACCAAGAGAAAAGGTGCTGCTGTGAGCTTTATGACAAAATGCTTTATCCCCCATTAACCTTCACAGAGTGGGTATCAGGAGGGGATTTGAGGTGGAATAAAGCACCGGTGTCAATAGGCAGGTGTGTCACTGAGCTCAATGGAGACGATGGGATAGCATAAGGAGCCCTCCGTCCTTCATTTCCCCTCTTTCTTTTGGGGTCATTCCTTAGCTGGGCTCTGACAGCAACCGCTGATAAGAAAATGATTAAGTATCATGGACTCAACCACAATCCAATTCACGTTCCTGGTTGCTCTGCAGACTACAAAAAAGCTGTGTCAGAAGCTTTTTTTCTAATCAGGAAGTCCAAACAGCTTTTTGATTACTCTTCATATGTGTGTAAGTCTGCCTGACTTACAGCCTGAAATCCATTTACAGTATATTGTGTTTCTGAATGTGGGGCATGTTATAGATTAGAGACATGGAGGAGTGTGCATATTGACTCAGGATCAAAAAACTAAATAAAGCAAATCAGGCTGAACACTCCCCTGTATCTGAAATGGATCAGTCTGAGTAGACAAACTATAAAAAGAAACATATACACATACACACACATGGATATACAGTATGTGCAAAGGCAGATTTAGTCCACAGGGATCAGCAATCAGCCATGAAATTCCCCCCGTGATACATCTGGGCACCCATGAAAATGGAAATGGCAGCAGCTGATCTGTCGATGGGGACCAATCTGTCTCCTCATCAGGGCTCTTCATTAAAGTCAAGAACTGTCCATTAGACCCCTGTAATCCTCCCTCACCCAGTGCCATACACGACCTTGCAGTGTAACAGTATACACTGTTTTAACAGCTCCTGAGTTCCCACAGAGGCATGGTAAATGTCAGGGGAACTTAGGTTGCCGGATTTTGTGGGTGAAAAAGTTGTTTTGCAACAGGATTTAGAGAGTTCTCTGAACTCTACAATTCCTCGTGGAGTCGTCAGTGACATTACAGCCAATCATAACCAGTAATTTAACTTCTCCTCATGACTCTGTCATCGCACAGTGTGACTTTTTTTACTGTCTACTACAGAATGTGATCATTCCTTGCTCAACATAGTAGCTGCTTAATTGAGCTGGATGCGCGTCAATGATTTCACTTAGAGGGGATCATCAAGATTCAGACAAGCACCTGGTCTTTTATGTGCCTGTAGAAGGCTGGCAGGAAAAACGATTACCGGCCTCATTTGTTCTCTATAGACAGTTGTGACCTTTCCAATTGGCACATCCTCTTACGAATATGACAGCTTTTCTTTCCTGAAACCAGGAGTGATCTTGCATTTAATATGCACATAAATTGCATTTTTGCCTATTGGGGAGCTTGGAGTGCGAACATACTGTACAATCAGTATGGCTGCGCTTTTTGACTTTGGATGTGTCAGTGAGAGTTTATGGTGGTCCCATTGTGCTCGCCTTTCAGCTACATGAAAAAAAGAAAGAGATGTCTATAAATGCCTGTACATATGCTGAAATATAG